GTGTGTGCTCTTTATCACAAGCACACCCCTCTTACTAAGGCAAACGTTTTTCGAGATCTTTCTTTGGCTGCCTTTTGATACTGTGTCACCTGACCCTATCGGGAGAGAGCTGGAAGCCTAGGCTCATGTTTACCCAGAGTTCTCTAGGGACTGAGCAGTACCTTTGAGCCCAGCTTCTTTCAGTCTTACAGACAAAGACAAGGAGAACATTCTCACAGAACTCAGCCGTCTAGTGTAAAACAGTTCCAGCTGTTGGCTGCTCATGAAATGAGAAGGGGAGGGAAGCAGGGGGAAAGAGAAGTATTGGCTTTTCTACTTTAGGTGTGGCCTCGTGGACAGAGCTCCCCCTCTCTCTAGACGATGATTTTAACTTAGTAATTTAAAGGGTGGGGAAGGAGATATATAAAAGTCAACTGGCGTTCAATTCAGTAGGTCACACCACAGACAGTATTTTAAAACCCCAAACTACTGTTGCAGGTGGGATTGACATATGTGCTCCTACTTCTGTCTGGCTTCTAAAAATAATACAGCCCTTTATTAAAAGTGTGCAGATCCCTTTCCCACCACCCACCCCCAAATATTGGCAAGAAAAAAAAGAAAAACCTTGACAAAATCAAAGGAGCCTTGTGGCACCTTAAAGACTAACAGATTTATTGTGGCATCAGCTTTTGTGAACTAGAGCACATGCTGCAATAAATCTGTTAGTCTTTAAGATGACACAAGTGTCTTGTTTTCATTGTTGCACATAACATGACTACCCATTGGATACTGGCCAAAGTGGATGTTTTATAACAATTAAAAATAATTAAGACAACAAGTTATGAGCTGGGAGGACCCATAGTTCATTCCAAAAGGCTTTGTTGTTGCTTTTGCCTGGTATCTGTCACCGCTAGAAAAAAAGTATTTTGAAGAAGGAAGTGATAGAATTCATTAGGCCAAATAGCCAGCCAGGCTCTCTGCTTTGTTTAAATCTAGCACAGGGAACCCTTAAGGCATTTCTGGCTATGGCACGGTCCTTTGCACCAGCATTACACAGATATTCAGAGATCACACATGTACTACAGACACTGGCAGGGATCCTAGATGTCCTGCCTTCTGTGCTGGCACAGAGAAATAACAGGGCAGGAAAGGGGAAAGGAAAGCAGGGAAAAGCTTCTATGTTTGATAATTCATGCAGGCACTGCAAATGTAAACTATTGGATGCATGTTGTACTGTGACTTTTTTCTGTTGTAACTACTGTCATTTAGCTGTTACCCAGTAGGTTAGCCATTCTAGGTAGAATGGAAAATGGAGAAATAAATAAGGACAATATAATGTTCTGCACTTAGTATTTCGTCAGGTTCTGCACTTAGGCAGAAAGAACCAGCTGCACAAATATAAGATGAGGGACACTTGGCTTGCCAGTAGCACATGTGAAAAGGGTCTAGGGATCTTAGTGGACCACAAGCTTGAGTCAACAGTTTGATGCAGCAGCATAAACAGTTTGATGCAGCAGCTATTCTAGGCTACATCATCAGAAATACTGTGTCCAGATCAAGGAAAGTCATAGTACCTCTCTATTCTGCCTTTGTTGGACCATACCTGGAATCCTGAGTCCTGTTCTGGGCAGCACAATTTAAGAAGTGCATTGAGAAGCTGGAACATGTGCAGAGGAGGGTGACCAAGATGATCAAGGGTCTGGAAACCAAGGCTTATGATGACCACTTGAAGGAGCTGGGCATGTTTAGCCTAGAAAAGAGGACACTGAGAGACGATATGATAGCATCGCAGGGGTTGGACTAGATGTTCCTTCCAACTCTACAATTCTATGAATATTTTGGGGTGGTGGAAAGCCCAGGAGGAAAAACCTTACATTACCCGACCCACATCATTACTGAAATTCACTTCCACTGTTCTTGTTCCTCCCAGATATTCGTTTAAAAACTTAATGTACAGCATTTGTACGTTGTGAATACAATCATTAAACGGACTTCTCATGAGCTGTTGTGAACCGTTACTACTTTAAATTTCTGGAAGGCACACCCAGTCCATTAACAAAGCTGCTCTAGCTGCCTTTTCAGCGGAGGAAGCATGCCATAGTTTGTGCACTCGTCTGTGTGTTTAATGCACTTGAAGAAGGTAGGTCACACTTCAGATGCTTACAAGTGTCTGTAAAAACAGTTGCACCTGGATTTTATTTGAGAAAGAATTGTCCCTCCCATCTGGTGCCTTTCAGGCAAATTGTATCTGCACTTTCCACTTTGTATTGTCGAATAGAAAAAAAAAGGGAATGCACTTAAAGATATGGGATACTTTTAAAAACTTGTGTGACTGGTAGGAAACCCTGTATCTTTCACCCAGAATTAACAGGAACCTTCTATTAAATGGTGTTGTTAATCTTGGGGTTTATTTTTATGTATGCTTCTGCATCTTCTAAAAGCTGTTTAACTTGCTATGTTAGTTCCTAATGGTCCCTTATAGCAGCATTCTCTGACCTAATGCCCTCTAGTTGTACTTCCATTGGACCCAACCATGTTGTCTGGGGCAGATGGGAGTTGTAGTTTGAAACATCTGGAAGTCACCAGGTTGGGCTGCATTATCTCATCCCTAAATGTGTTGAGTCCATATTGCCTTCCTAACTAACCTTGCCTGGCCTCCTTTAATTGGTGGTGACCTGATACTCTTCCCCAAGACTGCAGTGCATTATTTCTGAACCATGATTGCTTTTACTCCCTCTCTCCTGTCATCCCTAAGGTTTCCAACTTAAAAACTAGCTCTGATCTTCGGTCTTAAGCAAACTAGCATGATATACTGCATCACCCTGGCAAGCTTGCTTGCCTTTTCCCTGTTTGCCCTTCCTTCCTTTTCTTGCTTGAAAAGAAAAGAGTGAAAGATGAGTTTTTAGGCTTTTCTCAAGATTTTTAAGCAGGAAGAAATTTGTTCCAGCCTACTCACAAGGGATGAATAGGGGTTAGTCTCCTGAAGCTTGCTCTGCACCGATGTGACCGACTCCCCTTTGCTAAAGTAGCTTCAGATTCCTGACTAACTGGAATAATCATAAAAATAAGAACAAGGTTTCTAATGACAAGAAGTTATCCATGCAAAGAACTGGTTCCAGCATTACATTTGGACTTTGGAATGTGTATCTACACATCTCTGTGAATGTTGATGGTGTAGCTGCTTTTCCAGATGAATCCAGAATTCATCTGCACATTTTCTTCACCACCTGTACTATATGGGATCATCTCAGCATTGTTTGTTTATATTATGCCATCCCTGTACAGGGCACAGTGAGCAAAAAAGATTGGCCGTTGTGCCGAGGAGTTCACAGTCTGAAGTTAGACAGCAGACAGAAGGAAATGAACCATGTGACAATTTAGTTGTGTTTAGCCAAACCTGAGTGGTACCTCAGGTTAAGAACTTAATTCGTTCCAGAGGTCCGTTCTTAACCTGAAACTGTTCTTAACCTGAGACACCACTTTAGCTAATGGGGCCTCCAGCTGCTGCTGCCGCGCCACCACTGCACGATTTCTGTTCTCATCCTGAAGCAAAGTTCTTAACCTGAGGTACTATTTCTTGGTTAGCAGAGTCTGTAACCTGAAGCGTCTGTAACCCGAGGTACCACTGTAATCACTTATACAGTAATGTATCTTGGAGTAACAATTGCTGCACACATTTCAAACTCTGGCTTACGTATAGGTTTAAAGGGAGTTGGAATTGGTTCGAGTGTGAACTACCAACTCCCAGTAAAACCAACAGCTTGTGAATCGGCCCTCCTTTATATTGTAAGCACTGCTACATCTGTGGTCTAGTGCTACACGCACAATATTCAATAAGCCAGTGCAGAGCCTAGAACTCCTGTGCATCTGCTCCTTTCTTTCCACGTAGCCAGGAGAAGCATTTCACTAGCATTTACTTCACAGAATTCTTGCTTGTTACATGTGAGATGGAGATAGCAGTTGGGTCAGTTTTAAAACAAGCCGGCTTCAAACAATAGATTATGAACCTGGCCGGTTTCCATACACCAACAGCCGAGATTAGGAGTAACAAAGTAAAATTTGGCAAAGACCTCCCCCTGTCACAATGGCAGAAGAGAGTTGAGGGGAGAGGACACGTAAACCTGAGGTTTCACTTTGGCTTCTTCCATTTCATGCACATAGCACTAAATTACAAATATAGGTATGCATTTATTTCCATGCTAAGATTGTCTTTGCGTTCTTCTTGTTATGACAAAGTAAATTTCGACTCAGTATCTGTTTGGGCAGCACATTCTACAACTTTAAAACCCATAGTTGTGTTTTCCTGTTTTATATGTTAATTCTCTTGTTAGCATAGGCTTCCTCCAACCAATGACTTGCTCATCTAATCCAGGAATTTTGCTGCATGCAGTTGAGTTTAGGAGTTGTAACATTCAGGCAAGTGGAGTTATTGAAAGCCTGGCAGTATGACCAAGCTGCGTATCGTGTTTTAGCTTCTCTTTAGCTGATATACATTATGGCCTTGGATAGGTTTCAAATACCTTAATGGTATTTGAACATGTGAATAATCCCATGGACAATACTTGCAGAAAGGCAATCCATTCCTACATGTACAGTGCCAGTGTTTACACATCCGCAGAAAAGAGGCTTAATTACCTACAAGAATAATTTAATAGACAAGCTTAAACACATAAGAATGTTATGGGTAAATAGTTTAATGGGCTTCAGAAAATGACTAAACACATTCATGGAAGATAAGACCTTATCGATGGCTATTAGTCAACTTCATATGGAGCAGGGGGCCCAGACCTTGGACTACCGGAAGCTGGGAGTTAATGAGAGGAAATGGAATACTCTATTAATGCTGTTCAGACACTTCCTTTTTGAGCATCTGGAACAAACTTTCTTTGAAGCCAAGGCTATTTTGACAGATGCTGTAGAGTTCTGGCTGTTGAGCTTGCTTTTATAACGAATTCCTTTATTTCTGTCATTTAAGTCCTGTGATAAAAATGTACATTGGGTGTGTATGTTTGTGTTACATAATTGTGTGCGTGCGTGCGTGCGTGCGTGCACGCACACACACACACACACACACACACACACAAAAACACACTCACACAGGCTGTCATTGCACAGCCCCCATTGTAGTGTCTCATCGCAAACCTTGATTTGTATGAAGTCAGGATCAGGTAAGGTTGTGAAAGAGAAGGCAGGTTGCACAGTAGCAGTGGCCGTGGCCAGGGAGCTAGAATGGAATGACACTGAGACTGGAAAGTAGTGACAGGGGTCTGAATAGATTGAGAAGGGAGGGTTGTTGATTTTTGTTTAATTAACAAAGAGAAATAGAGATGACACAAAACCTAGCACCAAAAAGTTAACAAAACAGAGCCTTTCCTAACTCCTTTTTGCTGTACTGAAACCTTGTTCTAAACTGCCACTTTCCCCCTCATTGTCTCCATTTTGACTTGTCCTATTTAAACACCTGCTGTTGTTTAAATCCGTCATTTTCCTTTCACTGTCTCCCTCTGCTTGCTGTACTCAAACCTCTGCTGTTGTTTAAAACTGCCAGTCAGTGTCTCTCCGTCCCTGTTTGCTGTAGTGGGAAATGAGGGGCAGATGGGACTCATCAACCTGGGAAGGGAACCCATCTAGGAGAAAGTAAACTGGCCCTAAAGCTCGGCTGCCCCCTATTTTTTCTCACAGGCTCATATAAGATCAGTATAAACAGTTAGGCCTGGTGAGCATTTCATGTCCCCAACCCTAATCTGCGGGTTGCCATCAGATTGGATTTCACTTTGATCCTGATTTGATTTTAGGATGTATTTTAGTTGATTGCATGATTTTATGTTAATATGTTATATATCTGATGTTAGCCGCTCTGAGCCCATTTTTGGCCGGGGAGGGCGGGGTATAAATAATTTATTATTATTATTATTATTATTATTATTATTATTATTATTACTACTACTACTACTGCTGCTACTACTACTACTTTGGGAGAAGAAAAGACAAAGGAGTAAACCATACACAAATTTGGAGTGGAGTCCCTAAGGCGGCTGGATGGCGCCTTGTACGCCTCCTTCTGGCAACTCTTGTAGCCAAACTGGTGCCAAACGTATTTCTCTGCCTAGGCTTGCACCCTAGGGTGGTCACTTTGGTGCTACTAATACAGCAGTTTGACTTCACCCCTGGAGGTGCACTCCACTGTCTCTCTTGACAGACGGATACCAACAACAGCTCAACATCTTGGGGGGGGGGTGCAAGGAGGCTTCCCCCAAAGGAGTTGGGAAGATGCATGAAGTGGAAACTGGGATGCAAAGTGGGGCTGCAGAATAAGAGAGAGGAGTGGCTTCAGAAATGGGGCTGGGAAGATGAAAAGCAATCTTAGTACACTGGTACCTCTGGTTAAGAACTTAATTCGTTCCGGAGGTCCATTCTTAACCTGAAACTGTTCTTAACCTGAAGTACCACTTTAGCTAATGGGCCTCCCAGTGCTGCCACGCCGTCGGCATGCAATTTCTGTTCTCATCCTGAAGCAAAGGTCTTAACCTGAGGTACTATTTCTGGGTTAGCGGAGTCTGTAACCTGAAGCATCTGTAACCCGAGGTACCACTGTAGTTGCATGGAGTGGGAAGGGGAAGCCCGAGGGGGTTAATGTGGTTAATGGCAGGAGTTTGACAGTTCTGTTGAAATTAGTGGAGATGAACTTTAAAAACAAAAGCTGATTTTAAAATAAAGTTTGTTTTATCTTACGTTTATCCAGGTTTGAGTGGGAGGTGGGAAACCCTCTATAATATATCAGGGGCTCCTCACCTTTCGTTGATATCCACTTTATTTACTTTTAGCTGTCAGAATGTAATGCCAGCATTGCAACACCATCCTTCCACATGCTGAGATGTGGCTAGGAATCCCAGTGAAGCCCATCAGTGCTGCTCCTTAATCTGCTGGAGAGAATGATGTTCAATGATGTGAAGCACCCTTTGCCCTGTCCCTGGAGTAAAGATTCCAGCATAGAATCTCCCAGGTGGCAGCGGAGAGCAGGATGTCGCCCCTGAAGCCAAACGTTTGCTTTTCCAGTTTAGTCCAAATGTGCCTATCTGCCATTTCCTGTCTTTATACTGTGTCTCACTTTTTGTCTTCAAAATCTGTTTATGCCTTGAAGTGTTTGTTTTGTTTTGTTTTGCCACAATACAGAATTTTCTTGGTGCTTAAGAATGATACTGTGTCTTGTATCAGGATATTGTATCATCGCTGTGCATGCCTGCACGTGTCTGTGTGAGGCATTACATTGTAAAATGCAAGGCAGTAAAAGCCTATAATTTATAAGGCTATATTAGGTACTTACGGCATGTATTATAGCCTCTCATTTATTCTATATATAATTCCATAGAGAGTTCGGGTGGCATTATAAACCACGAATGTATAGCTCAAGTGGCTTGTCATCTGAATGCTGGGACAGAATTTTCTTGTATAACAGTGTATAAGCTCTACTTTTCATAATCCAAGGATAGAAAATTTCTATTTGAAGCCATTTCAGTTTATGTTCTCATGCGCCTACTCATGTCCATCAAAAGTGTTCACATGGGAATATGACATAATAAAACCCATGTAAAATCTGTTTTGTTTTTTTGTTATGACAGATGATTTTGACCCTTTGTTTATGTCCCTATATATCAAGTACAGCTGATTCAAAAACCTCCTTTGTCCCGCCCACCTGTCTTTATAAAGAATTTGTGCAAAATGCTACCCTGGCAAGCATGAATGCCACTGCTGCTGAAGAAATACCGAAGCCGGAGCATTTTATGGGTTGTTTTTTAAAAGTTAATTAAAGCAAGCAGCAGTGCTTTCAGATCATACCTGTGCAGAGCTGTAGCATGCAGAATCACTGGAATTATTAGGCACAGAGACCATTGCCACCATGTACAGCAGGAGTAGTGGCAGAGGCCACAGTGGTGGTGAAGGCAATGAGGGAGCCCACAAGGTGATTTGTCCCTGGCCACATGCACTCCTAGGGATATTGCTGATGGGAGGAGCCTTAAGACTGATTTCTTTTCTCACTAACTCAGCTTTACAAATGCAGAGCTTCAGAAGCAGTACAATAACCATATGTTGATAACTTTCTATCACGCTACCACAGCCTTGTCACTCCAATAGAACAGACAAGCAAAGGAGGCTACAGTAAAGTACAGTGCAGCTACTTCACCCTTTTTCTTTTTAAAGGTAAAAGGTAAAGGGACCCCTGACCATTAGGTCCATTCGCAGACGACTCTGGGGTTGCGGCGCTCATCTCACTTTATTGGCCAAGGGAGCTGGCATACAGCTTCTGGGTCATGTGGCCAGCATGACTAAACCGCTTCTGGCGAACCAGAGCAGCACACAGAAACACCATTTACCTTCCTGTTGGAGTGGTACCTATTTATCTACTTGCACTTTGACTTGCTTTCAAACTGCTAGGTTGGCAGGAGCAGGGAGCTCAACCCGTCACGGGGATTCGAACTGCTGACCTTCTGATCGGCAAGCCCTAGGCTCTGTGGTTTAACCCACAGCACCACCCATGTGCAAAAAGAAGTCCTAAAAGTTAGCCTGGCAGGCTTTCTGTTTGTCTTTTCCTCAATAGTCATTTTTCCTCTTTCTGTTCAGTGTGCCCCCACTTCCCAGATGTGCCTTAGAATAGTACCCCTTCCATAGACCCCTCAAAACAACTATAAATGGTATCAGATTGATGACTCGTGGAACCCTTGAATGCAGGTTGCTGCAGGCACCTACTGGAGGATTTTGGAGGAGGAAGGTGAAATGTACTGTAAGCAACTATGAGAGGATAACTTGCAGATCACTTCCTAGATATGCTGGAGGCAGCTGGATAGGCTGCACTGTGGCTACAGGCATTTGATCAGCTCAGCATTAATGTACTGGTGTGTGGACTAGTTTGGCACAGCACCTTGTCGTTATGCTGCATTATCCTGCTGCTGTTACCCTCAAGAATAGTGACGAAAAGCACTGTAGAGAAGGATGCAGAAAAAAATTGACCCACATAATTTTATCTGTAACTTCTAGTACATCATAATGTAGGGATTGTTCACACCAATAAATGGATCAATGCATGATTTGTTTGATGATTGCAAACATTTGGGGGGGGAATAAAAGATGTAAGGTTTGGAGAGATAGAAAAGGTAAGGAAGCAAACTTCAAATAATCCACTTTTAAGTCTGTACAGTGGTACCTCGGGTTAAGTACTAAATTCGTTCCGGAGTTCCGTTCTTAACCTGAAACTGTTCTTAAGCTGAGGTACCACTTTAGCTAATGGGCCTCCCGCTGCCGCCACGCGATTTCTGTTCTCATCCTGAAGCAAGGTTCTTAACCCGAGGTACTATTTCTGGGCTAGCGGAGTCTGTAACCTGAAGCGTCTGTAACCTGAAGCGTCTGTAACCCGAGGTACCACTGTACATGGCTATCGATACCGATACTCTGTGTGTGTGTGTGTGTGTGTGTGTGTGTGTGTTATAAAGTGTGTGTTTATGTGTGTGTTATAAAGTGACTTAAGTATACAAGAATTTTAAATCCAGGATCCAGAATGAATTAGTCTGAAGTGCTTTTTGATGCGTTACTATCTGTCTGTCTATTTACACATATACATATACCGTTCTAATTTTGGCCAGTAACGCTGAGACATGATAGTGGAAGATGATAAACAGCCTAAACAAAGGTCTTGGAATACTGCCACATGGTGGCCTCTCAATTACGTGATAAAATTGCAACGAACTGTTTCATTTCAGCAGAACTGCAACTGGGGTTTTTGGTCAGTAAATTAAGCTGAGGGTTTTCTTCCTCCGTCTGTGTACAACAGGTGTAGTATGCTGATAATGTTATCTGCCTTACTCCTAACGGGACTTAGGCTGTGATTATAAATGTGTTTACTCTTGAGTACATCCCATTGAGATAAATGGGACTTGATCACATGCTTCTGCTTTCATAGCTTGAATCATGGAGCTCTTCCACATTGATGCTAAATAGACCTGTCATTAAAAAGGGGGTGGGGTGGGAGAAATTACAGGTGTTTGATTTTCTTTGTTACTTTCTCATGTGTCCCTTCCAGGGGATGCTTATCTGTCCATTTAATCAT